AGAGATAGATGTAATAAAACAAATAGCAAAACTAGGTAACATTGACAATGTGCCAAGAGAGTATTACAAAACCAGTGCTATGGAATTCAGATAAGGGAGTCATTATCAAAGGCCCCCATCAGATAGGGAAGGTTTTCTGAAGGAAATAGAACTTGATTAGGACCATCCATTCATTGAGCCATTCACTCCGGAACATTTATTGAACCTCAAGATTAGATCAGACATGGCACCAGACACAAGGAATATGAAAATGAACAACATGTGGTCTCAACCTTTAAGGATTCACAATTTACTAGGCACAGCCTGCCAACCAAATGAAGAGGCACATTAAAGTCTCAGAAATGCCATCAAAGATGTCTGTGGTATATAATGGGGACACATAGTAACAAGTGGTCAATTCTGCCCAATGGGACATGGGGTCAGAAAAGGCTTTAAAGAAAAGTCTGTTGAGTTGAATCTTCAAAGAGAAGAAAGCAGCATGAGAAACAATACAACACATTTGAGGAACTACCAAGAGCTTAGTACAGCCCGTGCATAAGAGAAGGGTTAGTGGAGGGGAGATATGAAATAAGAAATTAAAGTTGGAAATTTTGAGGGGATTAAATCATGAAGAGTCTTATGGAATATGACAGGGAGTTTGCCTTTATAGGGAAGGTGACAGGTTTTATGCAGGGGAAAACATGCTCTTCAGAAAGATCCCTTTGGAGGCAACCTGGAGAATGGTTTGGAGTAAGGCAAGACTGGAGGTAGGGATACCAGCTGGAAGACTATTTGTCATGATCCAGGAAAAAAATAAGAAGAGTCTGTAATGACAGCTGGAGAAGCAGAGATTAAAAGTAGAGAATGGATATGAGAGATGTTGAGAGTGAAGAATCACAAAAATTGATAATCAATAGGATGTTTGGGAAGGAGTGAGGGTGAAAAAGAGGGAGGGTCAAGGTTGACTTTAAGCTCTGGTCAGACACCTGAGTAGATAGAGAGCTAGTCACTGAGAGAGGCAATACAAAGGGAGGAGAAGGTGTCTGAGGGAAAATAATGGATTCCGTTTGGGATATGTTGAGTTTGAGGTACTTGCGGGACGGCCCACTAAAGATTTCTAGAAGGCAGCTGGATGTAGGATCTAGAACTTCAGTTAGTAATTTGGCTTATGTTTGAGAATCATTAGTGTAGAGTAGGAGGTAGAAATGTGGAAATAAATGAGATCAGATCAGGAGAAGTAGAATCAACAGGAGAGAGCCTAAAGTAACTTGGGAAATGTCAAGATTCAAAGAGTTAAATATAGGAAGAGGAGCCTTCACAGAAGGCTAAGAAGAAATTGTAAGAGGTAGAAGGAGAAGATGGAGAGGAACAGTATCTCAAGACATAGTAGAAAAGGTTTCAAGAAGAAAAAATCAACAGTGACAAATGCCACAGAAACACTATGTAAATAAAGACTGAACAGTATTTATGGACCAACTTGCCAGGAATTTAATAGTGGAACATACAGCTTCTGACAGGAGCTGGCTTAACCCCCAGGTCAGCTACATGAGGACATACTTATGCATAAATATGTATGGAGGGTGAAAGATGATCCTCTATCTGGTGACCCTCAGTAACCCAGAAACAGGAACCTAAAAAGTACTGTAACCCCAAGGATTGCTTTTACCTAGAGATGCCAAAATATCCTTCAATCCTATCCTCTGGATAAGTCTACATCCAGTAACTACATACTAAGTAGTTACTGAAACAAATTCTTTCAGCTGGAGAGTCCCAACTGAATACCTGGTTGTATAAGATAAGACAATTTCCAAGAATGTTCACTAGAATCCCTCCACCGCTCCCTTTCCCTGCTTCCTTCTGAGGAATTTGTGCTGCAGCTTCAGTATACAAGAATTTTTAAGACTTATTTTTCCAACAATGCAATATCAGTGTTTGGGGGATTTTTTTTTTTGGGGGGGGGATCACCATGACACTTTCTCTTTATGAAGCCTTTATTTCTACCACAGAATTTTATTCATACTGGATGTGTCATATAGTGAAATTCCTATTGTTCAATGTATTCACTGGTTAATTAAAGGAAAATACACTAGTTTTTAATGTTACTAGAGGTACCTTCTACTTGCCTTAAATAGGGAAAATGGATTCTGGAATTTTCAATTAGTTATAAACATTGAGTTTTATTCACTGACAAAGGCAAACCTAGAAACAGCAGGTAGTGAGCAGTAGGACCAAGAGGGAACAGTGCTTAGCTCTTAGGTTTACCAAGCATGCTTTCCTTTGGGTGTGGAGATACCTGGGAGCAACTTGGCAGGAGTTTCAAAGTGAAAAGTGTGCCTTCTAGAAACACTGGTCTGACCCCTGCTTGCAGGTGAGCATTTTGCTCGCCATGGTGAACCACTAAATAGATGAAATAAGACTTTCAACTCACTCCTCCAAAGCTCAATGAATACATAAAATGGTTCTTGTAGAATTAACTTTATCCACAGAATTTGGTCTTTTTCCTTGGTTCCTGAGAAATAACCTCTAAAACCTTGGAATGTCCCCAGTGATTGAAGGGTCTTTACTAATGCATCCAGACCACACCTGAGGGTTTATGACTCACGTTGAGTTGGGGATGATTTTGCCAGAAAGACCCATGGGTGATATCAATCTCTTGATATCAACCTCGTAATATCGACCAACCTCAGGGAAGAGGGACTGAAGTTTGAATTACATAATGAGACCACCAATAAAAGCTCTGAACACCGAAGCTCCATGAACTCCCTGGTTGATGATAGACATGGATGCATGTGGGAAGCCTCTTGCACCTTGCCCTATGCATCTCTTCATTTATATCATTTTTGCTATGATAAAATTACAATCATAAGTATAGCATTTTCCATACATTCTGTGAGTTGTTCTAGTGAATTATCTAACCCAACGGAGTAATGGAGCCAGCAGGACAGAAGTGAGGGGACCCCTGAGTTTATGGCTGGCATCATGAAGAGATAATGGAAAGCCCCAAATTTGTAGCCAGCAGGTCAGAAGTGAGGATGTCAAGGGACTTCAAGGTTGTGGCTGGTATCTAAGGTGTTGGGCAGACTTGGCAGTCTGGATGACTATGTCCTTTAACTTGTGAGGTCTAATCTAGCTTCACGTGGTCAGGGAAAGGTGTTGCATATGCAGATGGAATAAGAACGAAAGAGCAACAGAGGGGAACATAATTGAGAATTGAACTGAATTAAATTGATCGTTACAGTTTAATATCCAAGAAGTGGGATTTGATTTTCAATCAGTTAGTGTGAGAAGTGAGATTTGATTTTCCAGCAGTTCTTCTCTACCTCGCCAGTGAAAAACTCACTTATTAAGCATATTTTATTCTGATTTTTTAATAGAATGTAATAGAGTAAAGTTTTTAGTATTATGGAACTCAAAGTAATAGCACTGTGAGATTTGGGGTGACAAGTAGTTACTGTTGGAAACTTCTGAAAAGGTATACGGGGGTAGTGATGAGATGGGTCAACGTTATTGAAAGTTGCTAAAATATCAAATATTCTGTTAGGAGTGTATGTATACTACCGCATTTAATTAGCAAATTTAATTCCTAGATGAGTCAAAGTGTTATTTTTGTTTTCAGGAATTTGACCTAAAACTTCTCTAAACAAATCAGAATTTCTGGTATAATGTTAGAAGGATGCTTCTAAGGAATGGTCTACTTTACTGAATAGTCTGTGAAGCTCTCTACTTTCTACAGCAAATCGATAAATTTATAAGGAAAATGTGATATGCAGACTTTTTTCTGAGACAGTAATGAGAAGTTAAATAAAAATACTACTTCCTTTGGCTTCTATGACAAGTAATTAAAAAATACAAATGATGAATGTAATGCCCATGATGATAAACAGGTACCTGTGTTTGTGTATTTCCTCCTTCAAGTAATGCAATGCCAAGCAAAATGCCTTCTGAAAATATTCTGTCATTTTTGGTGTTCACTATAACATCAATGACGAGTTCAGATGCACCTTCTTTATCCAGAAGACATTGAATATCTGACACTGATATCCTCATCTTATCTGAATCTTGTCCAGAAAAGCTTCCTGTGATTAGGGGAAAAAACAACTAAATTACAGACATAATTAGCCAATAAGGTTTTCAAATTCTTAAATCTTAAGAATATTTATTACCGGTACTTTTGACCCTACAAAGTTAAATATAATAGAAACGTGTACAAAAAAAAAAGTAAATGTTATAAAAAAAACTTACTAAATGTCTGACATCCATTATTAAATGTTTGCTTTCTTAATAAAATATACTTTAGAAGAAGAAAACTAGCTTTATTTTTGTCTTTAATTTATAGATTAAGAAATTCTGACACAGTTTAATCATTTTCCCAAAGTCAAAAGGCAGATACAATTCTAATGTTCAAACCTGTTGTTTCATAAACCCCAAGTTGTACGAAGATTTTTAATAATGCTTGTTAAATGAATGTTTTATATTTGTGCCATTTTAGATAAAACACTAGAGTAACATTGACATGAAGATGTGAGAATCCTAAACTGAGACAAAAATGACGAGCCTTACCTCCCACTTGTGTACTTTTGGAGTAGGCTCCTGATAGATGTCCGTTCACAGTAACTCCATAATCACCTTTAAAATATCGATTGAGGAGTATTTTTCTTAATGTGTTACCCTAATAAAAAGGACGAGAAAAGTGTTGTGTTGGTTATTGTTTCCTTTTTTTTAATAAAAGTGAAAAATGTCAGTATACTAAAATGTCACTTAAACATGCATTTTATGGATGATGTTAAGACCTGGAAAAAATGTATTTTACACTGCATAGTACTTTCTGAAGCAAAAATTTACAAATACTTTACAATAAAATTATAATAATTCTTTTCTCCCACAAATAGAAAAGAAAAATAGCATTTTCAGTAGAATGTACTAGAAAAATCACAAATGATATAAATTTAAGATTGCTTTTTAAAAGGTGAGGGTTCCAGTGTTGGTAAGAATTTAGTTTAAAAAAAAACACAGGATAATAAACACCTCAAGAATTAGAAAGCAAAAACCTTAGTTGTAGGAACTTCGTGAAAAAAAAAAAAAGCTAGAGAAGTACTAGGTATACAGCATGTACTAAAGAAAATAAGCTTGATAAACTAGAGTGAATTATATATAAATTGCAAGCTGATTTATTTGGAAGATGGTGGGCAAAAGGCAGTGTATTCCTGTATGAAACATTAATACAATAATTCCTAAGTCTTCAGTTTTGTACTGGTTATATTTTTTGAAATAACATATTTTGCAATATAATCACTTGTAGATAAGAATCATGTTGTTGTTATTAAGTGGAATCCTACTCGTATCGACCCCATGTGACACAGTAGAACTGTCTCACAGAGTTTCTTAAACTATCTTCTTTACGGACTCCAACTGCCAGGTCTTTCCCAAAGAGCTGCTGGGTGGGTTCGAACCACCCACCTTTCAGTTAGCAGCTGAGCGTTTAACCATTGTACCATCTAGGCTACTATAAGATCATAGATAACTCTCAATCTTCCCTTTTTAAGTCCTAAATATTTTAAATTGGTTATTATCTTCATTAAAAAATTAATTTTTAAAATAATAGTTGTTTAAACTATTTAAATCAACTACTAAGGTGTTACTCCCATTTTGCAGGTAACAGAACTGTGGCCCCAAGCTTAAGTAATTGAGCAAGACCTGAACACAATTCTGACTGTACAATGCAGTCCATGTCCCCATGCCATGCTTCACCCTGGCCCCAGCACACTTCCCTTTGTGCCTGGACACATGGTTCTCCATGCTCCTTCTCGCTCTCATGCTTTAGTTTTCCTTCTTTCTCAAAACCTTAACCTTTTGTCCTTAGTTCTCTTGCTGTGCTCCTCTCCCCATCTTCCTATCACCAACAGCAATTTCATCTGATCCTTGGTTTCAGCAATCACTTCTGCAGATTTTACTGCCATTCGTGTTTCCTCCAGCCTCGACCTCAATCTCTTGAGCTTCTCATCCTGTATCTACTTAGATTTCCAAATCTACTTCTGGAGTTCCCACCAGCACCTCAAACTCAATATGTTCAGAACAGGGTCTTCACTAGGGTTGGTGTCATCCAGTGTAGTAACTCATAATGTCTGCACTGGCTGGGTTGGGGTGGGCCGGGCCAGCCAGTGAAGCCCACCTAGGTGGTAGAATGGCACGGCCCGTCCCTCCTCCCAACCCCCCACAGCTCTTCCACTCTCCTACTGGCCAAGGCAGAGCCCCTCCTCTCCCCCAATGGTACGTGCTGCGGCCTGGCTTCCTGAACCCTAGTGACTGACAGGTGATGGAGGGGGGAAGGGGGTAGTGACAAGTTACTGCATTGGATGACAAGTGACACCAATCATAGTGACGTCACTGCCTTAGTGGCCCCTCCCTCGGTAGTAATGCACACGCACGCGTGCAGACACACACACACACACACACACACACACACACACACTGCATCCCTGCTGTCATAATCCTGGGGTTGTTTTGGTGTCACCCCCTCTGACAGTGTTGAGGGTACAGTCCACACACACACACCCACCTCTCTAGTAATGCCACTGGTTCAGAACAGAATATTCCTTTTCTCTTAAACCTGCTTTCTCCTCAATTTCAATTTATTTTAAGGAGATCACAACCATTCTGGTCATTTAGGCTCCACACTTAAGGAAACATCCACTACCTCCTCAACTTGACAATGACTTGTGAAACCCTACCTACTCTACTTTTTCAACTGTAGTTTACAACAGTGCCATCATACATTACATTCTAACAAAACTGAACTGTGTGATGATTTCTCAACCACAGTTTTCTAAGTCTTTCTCTTTGCTTGCATCATATTCTCTGCCTGAATCAGTCTTCTTCCATCTTACTTATGGATTCATCCTATCTTCTTTCTTCATTCTACAAATATTCATTAAGCACATACTGTGTTTTAGGCACTCTCCTAAGTAAATAAAATATAACCTCCCCTCAAAGAGTTTACAATAAAACGAGTTCAATGATAGAGACAAACACTAGGCACTATGGAAGCACGTAAGAGGAAGCAATCGACTCCAAGGGGGCTTTCCGTGACGTAGTTCCTTGCAATGGTTAAGATTGTGTGTCAACTTGGCTTGGCCATGAGTCTCAGTGTTTGACAGTCGTATAACGTTGTGATCATTTCCCAACTGAGATTTGATATGTGACCAGCCTCGTGGCGGGATCTGCTGTGAGTAGCCAATCAATTGAAAGGGAGTTTCCATGGATATGTGGCCTGTATCGAATATAAGCTGACATTGTTGCAAGGCTCAGGGGCTTTTGCTCATTCTGGATCCTGCAGCTGGCTCCTGTTCGTCTGACCTCTGGTTCTTGGGACTTGAGCTAGCAGCTTACTTGTGGTCTTGCCTGCTGAACTTGGGATTCATTGATCTTCACAGCCTGTGAGCAAGAGCCCTGCTCTCCAACCTACCCATCTTGGGTTCGTCAGCTCCTGCAGCTATGTGAATCAGGAGAAGCCTCTCCTGATCCATGGGCTTGGGACATTCCAGCCTCTGCAACCATGAGCCATTTTCTTGATATAAATCTCTCTATATATATGTATTTATACACTTTACTGGTTTTGCTTCTCTAGAGAATCTAGCCTAAGACATTCCTCTACTAACCCATAGATTATTAACCCATGATCACCTACTAACCCATGATCACCTACTAACCCATGATCAGCTACTAACCCATTACTATCTATTAACCCATAGGTTATTAACCCATGATCAACTACTAACCGATGATCATCTACTAACCCATTATCATCTATTAACCTATAGGTTACTAATTCATGATCATCTACTAGTCAGTGCTCAAAAAATATGTCCTAAATGTCACAGTGCTAAAAATATTAATAGTCATTCAGAGTGTCTGGAGTTGCTTATCCTTATAGTGACTTTTAATTTTTGGTACTTTAATTCTTAGAACACAGGCATTTATTATCGCCTTGCATTTCATTTCTTTAGGATTCATTCATATAGGGGTGTGCTAAGTAAAGGCGATGCCTAGTCTTGGAAGAAATAGTGAGGTGGAAGAACTTATTCTACCAATGAATACAACTCTACAATCCCTTGTAAAACCTAAGTGGGGTACCTAGAGGAGACATCAGAAGTGAAAATAGTCTTTACTTTAAAAAAAGAGAGAGAGAGGGAAGGATCTTTTGAGTTGGACTAATTTCACCTGGCCAAAAACTGATCCTTTCAGAAGGAGAGGAAAAACGAAACAAAACATTTCTTTGGAATCAAAAGAAGAGTATTTTTACTGTGTATTTTATTATAGCAGAAGGATACACTATGAGAGAACTTTTAGGCCTGTAAACTATGAGGTTAAAGTTTTAAGCTGAGGAGAAAAATGTGAGGTCATATGAAGTACAGAATTTCTAGTTCAGTTTTTGTATTAGCCATGGTTCTCTCCTCTACAAACCAGTGCAATGCTTCTCATTCTAATCCTGTGAGATGCAGTTGGCCCATCTGTAGTGAGTAAAGCTGACAAACATGAAATCGCACAAATTAGTGCCATTGTCTGGAAGAGAACCTGTTGTGAGTAGAGGCCTGGATCCTTGTGAACAAGTCACCTGTTTACTCTCTGTAAAAGGGACTTTTAATCACACATTTTAATCACACTACTCCAAGAACCCAACCAAGAGATAAATAACGGTTTATTTGTTTTTTACAAAAAAAGAAGAAATGATAGAAAAGTTTTATATCCTTTATTTTTTTTAAAAAAAAGATGCACTTTAAATTGCTAGAAGAAACCTGTTCATAATAGACCATAGAGTACAACTGTGTCACACCAAATTAAAATAAACTTCATATTTGCCATGATTTCTAAATTCTCTTTAAGCATATAAAAATAAAATCAAGGTGCTTATTAGATTCCTAAGCATCAAAATTAAATATGCACACTCTTCTTGTATCCTATTCCAGCCTAGTTAGAACCATGTATTTTCTAACTATATAATACTCATGGAGGCAGTTGTTCAGTGGTAGAATTCTCACCTTCTATGCAGGAGACCAGGGTTCAATTCCCAGCCAATGCAACTCATGCACAACTACCACCTGTCTCTCATTGGAGGCTTGTATGTTGCTATGATGGGAATGTAAAATGGTGCAGCCATTTTGGAAAACAGTTTGGTAGTGCCTCAAAATGTTAAACAAAGTTATCATGAGACCCAGCAATTCCACTCCTAGGAATATACACGAAACAAAAATATATGTCCACAGAAAAATTTGTATACAGTTCATAACACGTAAAAAGTAGAAGCTATTACTGCTATTTGCCACAAAGTTCTTGCATTTAAGTACATCTGTGCAACAGATGTATTATAATGGCACATGTTTTGAATGTTACATCTGTTAGTAAAATGTAGTGAGGCTCAAACTGATAATTAAATATGAAGTTATGTGTGTCAATTAGGAACCAATTTCTTGTTAAAACTGTCTAATGTGTAAGGCACAATAAATTGAGCTAGTATCTGGGACTATTTATGTCTTGACCTGTGTGGGAAGGCAGGCCAGTGCACCGAATATAGGCTAGACAGTTTCCATGGATACCTCACACTACTTGAGGTGCAGAAACTACAAATTATAAACAACTTCATGGAAATTATGCCTTACAAGATATATTAGTTAG